GGTGCCAACTTGGGCCAGTGAAGCAACATCCTCCACAACTAGACTGAAAAACAAAAGGACAGCAACTTGTCTGTTCCCCTTCCCCCAATTCCCCAATTTAAAAAAAAAAATCTTTAAAAGAACTAATCCTGTCCCTCACAACAATTTAAAAATTATCCGAGAGCCATAAATATATTTTTACATATCACCATTATGTGAATAATATCCTGTAAAAATTTTATAAATGACACTATGATAGTTTTATTTTCATTTTCAATTTTACTTTAGAACCACTCGCTCGCGAGCCACAGTTTGCCGACCCCTGTCCTAGATCCTCTGGATGGGCCTGAGTCAATCCCCTAAAAGGCCTTACAAGCAGAGCCGAGGCGTCCTTGAAGAAACTCCTGCCTGACTACAGCAGCTGCACCCCGTTTCTGGAGAGTTCCTTCCTGCTCTTCCTCATGATCTGCCCCACAGATTTCACTTTCCTCGCCAGACCTCACAATCATGTTAGCCAAATCCTTTCAACAAATCTCTTAATATCTATCTCCCAATGATTCTGTTTCCCTCATTGAACCCTGACTGATGGCGATGCCATTAATTCATTCAACAAACACCAAGCAGGAAACAGAGGAAACAGCCACGCCAGGCGCCACGAGGGAAAATGAATGAGATGCAGTCTCTCCACCCAGGAAGCTCGGAGCACCTGGTGTCACCTTGCACAGGTACAGTCAAAGCAGCACACGCTGCACAAATGGCATGATTGGGTGTTACGTAGTAACCCACACAGCTACGTCAAGAAGGAAAACAAAGCCTGTCACTGAGGTCAATTGGCTGTCACCTAATAATTAACAGGTGTCATGACAATATCAGATTTAAACCTAAAACAGAGTTTTAACAATGCAGTTCAGCCCTTTTAAAATAAAGAGCTATAGGTCCCTAAATTCTGCCAACATGGCAGCGTGGCAAATATAACCCACTACATTAGACATATCACCTTTTACCTGGGACTGAGCAGGCATTCTCCACCGCATCACGGGTCTATCTTTCAAAAAAGTAACTGCCTCCTCTCAAAGCTGTCTCATTCTAGTAACGGTACCAGCAAGGAAAGTGCTGGGGGAGTTCCAGGGAGTAGGAAGCAAACCACAAAATAGGCAAGAGCCTCAAAAGTTTTTCTGAAAGCACACATTATAAATACATATTGTTAAAAAGCTGTGTCAGGGGACGGCCGAGTAGCTTAGTTGATTAAGAGTTGGCTTAAGAGCGTGAGCTCTGAGCAACGGGGCCACCGGTTCAATTCCCACATGGGCCAGTGACGCTGCACCCAAGCTGAGCTGTCGCTGAGCTGCCACTAGTGTAACAACAAGATTGCCTGTTCGATGGTGAGCTATGCCCACCCGCAACTAAGACTGAACTCGGCACCTTGAGCTTAGAGGCCACGAGCTGCTGATGGGAAGCCAGCTGGCGACTGGCGCCCTACACAACGAAGACTGAAGAACAACAACTTGGCTGGTCTCCTTCCCCAATTCCCCAACACTGTTCCCCTCCCCCAACTCCCCAATAAAAATCTTAAAAAAAAAAAAAAAAAGAAAGCTGTGTCAGAGAAAAGATGCATGAACTCAATGATATAATACAATGCATATAATAAGTAGTCAGTACACATCTGACATAACAGGGCAGGCCAAGATGGAGAAAGGAAGTATCACAATCTTGGTACAATAACTAAAAGAGAGTTTTCCTGTTTAATTCTACCAACTTCCTCCTGTTAAGTTGCTTCTGAATTTCAGTTTTCAAACTTCTACACTTGCCAGAGGTATAAAGATGCAGAAACAGAGAATTTCTTTACCTATAAGAAAATCACAGCAAATATCAAACAGGATACATGAGAAGGTTGAAAAATTTCATAAATCATAGTAAATTCCATTCAACGTGATCGTCCTTCTTACACTAACTTTATTCCTTCCATATGCTTCTAGCTTAAAGTGTTTGAAGCTTATAGAATCTGCTACATGAAGGCAAGAAGGATACCTTTTAGGCAACTGCCAATATGCAGATAGTCTTAATAAGCTGTTCAACCGACTCACAAATTAAAGCAGCAGTTTCAAAGTTATTCCAACACAGAGATGTAATTCTCTGCGAGCTAACACTTCATGCCACAGGGACCACCGTACCAAGACGGCAACGTGACTTCAAGACAACTAGTTTACCCACTCCCACATCACTGCCGAGCAAGGTCTAACGAACTTAGACCTCACCTCAGTTTTTCATTTTCAAAAGCGCTACATTACCGACATAAAGCCTTACCGCTGCATCCAGGAACTCAATGCACCTCTTCAGGTCATCCTTTGTGTCACAGAATTGCCTGAAGAGAAGTCTTCCTATGGGCTGCTTGTCACAAAGACTGCTATAATCCTTTTCTGTGTGAAGAGAGTGGGTAAGAAACAAACAAATATAATCATCACAATTCAGAAAGTGCTTTTCTGAACCTCACTATTTTCACCTGATACTATGAAAGCTGAAAATAGTATTTGCAATATTATTTTTTAAACTACTGTTTTGCTTACCAATTTAGACTGAGTTATCATGAATATGAAAAATACCTATGAAGAGCCAAACGTAGCTGGAAGAACGGATCAAGAAAAGTGTGTGAAGCCTGACTGGCAAGGTGGCTAGTCCCCTCTGAGAGGAAACACAGATGGGAGCAGTATTCCCTACGGAGCTAAGCAGTCACGATCACAGCGGAGGAAGAGAATGTGTTTGGCACAAATTACACCTATGTGAAACACACTGCAGGAAGGTACTTAGATTTTTAACAAGTCTTTTCCATTCTGCAACCTCGATATACTTTCACACTTGATTTTTTCACTGCTCTGGTTTTTTTTCTTTTCAGTGGAATGATAGGTGGTATACCTTACCCTTACTTACCCCAAATAGATACTGTTTTGGGAACAAGGCACTAACATGTGGTCAGTATCAAGAGTGATATAAAACAAATATGTTCAAAATAGGTTATTTGAACTTGAGCAAGAAAATCAGCTGCTCTTTTAGCAGTGACTCTGCACTTGAACGCAATTATGTTCAGGAAGTCCTAAAGTGGCTCTTAAGCTGAAGAATTAAATGAAATTCATAAACAGTAAGCAAGCCATAACAAATTTCTCCATTACAGGGTCTCTTAGTACCTAATAACTCTAGGACTCTAAACGAGCCTGTGCTGAATCACTGAGCTTGCAGGTGGAAAAGCACAGGAAAGGACACAGACATGTGGGTGTCAACAACGGTGCCAGCGCACAGCTGCTTGTTTCAACAAACATCAGCAATAGTTTTGCAAAAGTTCTACAACCCACTTTGTCCAATTTGGTTGTCATATTTTATTTAGAGATATTCAAGAACTACACTTAAAAAACAAAAAACATAAAGACATCAAAAAGTGATGTTTCTGAAAAGCTGAGAATGTTGACTACTTTCCTCCTGAAGTCGAAGGTTCAGAAATGTTCCCAATTTCCAGGTGAGGGTAGCAGATGGAGTACAAAGGTCTGCCTACCTTCTCTCCCAGACTCCTGCTGAAATGACCAAAAATGAAAACAAAAACAAAAGGAATGAAACCCTAACACGGAAAAAGAATACAGGGCACCCTTGGGGGTCAGAAATCTGAGGATTACCTGGAAGACAGCAAGCTGATGGGGCTGGAATTGAGAACATCAGCTGAAACCCCAAGATAAGTTGGGGCTCCTCAGGTAGCCCCTCCCCACACACACCTAGAGCGTGGGAGCCCTTCTGGGTCCTGATCACAATGGCTGGCCAAGGGGCTGCTCCCTCCCTCAAGCTGAAGCCACTTCACAGAAAGTGGGTGTCTGCCAAGAGAGATCCTGGAGCCCCAGAGAGAGAGCCAGAGCACAGCTAAAGGACTAGAAGCAATTCTGTGTGCGGCTGCTGGAACACAAGCCCTGTCTGGATGGCACCCCACGGGCATACACACCCCCCAACCAGAACTCCATTTGGGAGAGAGGACACCCAAAAAAACAAAACTCTGTAACCACACAGGCCCTTATATGAACTTGAATAAACAACCTCAGCTCTCTAGATACAGGGAAAAAAGCAGCTGGTAAAAACCAACCAAAAAGAACAGCGGAAAACTGGGCTAGGAGAAAAGAGAATTCAGTGGAGCCTTTAAATGTTTGGCCTGGGAAAATTTTAATATATATATATATATATTATTTATTTATATATATTATAATAATATATATTATTATAATATATATTATGTAATATATATATATATAAATATTTATTTTATATATATTAAAATTCAAAAGGAAAAGCCAGGTATCTGTATCTCCCTCGCCTCTACTTTATCTGGAATTCCCCTCTGAATTCTTATTAGACAAATATTTGACTTTCTGGATCTTTCTACATCTCATTATTCTCTTGTATTTTCTGTTTGCTTTTGCCATACATTTTAGGAGATTTCCTAATTATCCATATCAATAGCCATGCTTTTATGCACATGCAAAGTATTATCCAGCCCATCCCACAATGTTCACTCATTAATCATATTTTGAATTTCTAAGAATACTATCCGTTCTGTGATTGCTTCTTTTGCATGTTCTATGGTTCCAGCAGTCCATATTGCTCTCCAGTGTCTCAGACAATACTAAGTAGGGTTTTAAAGATGTGTGTTCTGTTGCCTGAATTCTCTTTTCTTCATTCCAGAGAAATTCAGGCACTCTTACCCTTTTTTTATTCTTTTTTATTTTTATTTTTTAATTGGGGAATTGGGGGAGGGGAACAGTGTTGGGGAATCGGGAAGAGGAACAGACAAGTTGCTGTCCTTTTGTTCTTTAGTCTAGTTGTGGAGGACGTTGCTTCACTGGCCCATGTTGGTATTATCATTGCGCTCTTCCCAGGTGAGGCAGGTCAGTCGCCAGTCATTGGGCGGCCACTCACAGTGGCTCATGGCAGCTCATGCCAGCTGCCAGCCAATCACGGTAACTCACGGCAACCCACTGCAGCCCCACTGCAGCCTACGCCGCCACGGGGGACTCATGGCAGCCCAGCTCCAGGTTGAGCTGTTGTTCACCATCTTAGCTGTAGAGGCCGCAGCGTCACTGGCCCTCATATGTGGGATCCGAACAGGGGCCCTGCTGCTCAGAGCTGGCGTCCCAAGCTAACTCTTAACCAATGCGCCACTCAGCCAGCCCCCAAGCCAACTCTTAATCAACTGAGCCACTCCGTCAGCCCACTCTTACCCTTCTTTATGCTTTTAAAGATCTTTCAGGAAATGTGGCTTGCACTGAGATCATTTACTCAAAGATTTTATAGTTATGACAAAAATGTATATAGTACCTGAGCCTTAGGACAGACTGAAAAAAGTACAAATAATCTTACATTCTTCCTGCTGTACCTAAATTAAGACTTGTAAAACCAGTTAGGTAGATTGCTTTGTAAGTAAGGGCTCAAATCTAACAGTTCTGAATGAAACTGAGGGGGATGGAGCAATGAATTTGGAACGAAGCAGGAAAAACCGAAAGCCTGCGGTCTGAGACCTGCCAGGTTATGTGACAGGAGCCCACGTTCCTCTGGACCATGAGAATGCTGCCCTCGCCCACAGGGGGTGGTCCCTGATGGCCCCAAGGCTCTCAGCGCCCCATCTGGCACAGCAGGCCAGTGACCGACCCGCGTCAGGTTCTGGACGACGGTCCTGAAGCCTGACACAGAGAGGACAGGGACGTTCCGACTGGGCAGCATTCATGTGGGCACCTCCCAGGAACACCTCCATTGTCCTTATTTCACAGTACTCCTCTGACAGGAAGCATGCTAACTCAAAGCTTTATGGCATACTGACTCTATCATCACAAATTCACAACAACCAAAGGACGAAAATTAGAAATACCCCAAAATGCCTACTATTCCACCAAATCAAATGCTATGTAAACTCACAGAGACAATAAACCAAGAGCTATGTTTATTCCTGAGGGTACCTGAGTGGAAACACTGTTTTATTCAGTGACAGAGTACTGCCTGTACATCCCCATGGAAACGACTCTTGCTAAGGTCACCCCTCCATTCACTCACTCATTCACTTAACCAAAGTGCGGCCAAGTGCTCCTCCAGGGATGGAAACAAAGACCTTGAACTGGTTGCCAAACCCAGTGACTGTTCAACCTGACACTGGTGACCATGCCCACCTGCCTGGAACCGCCCTCTTGACCCCGCCACTCTCCAGATCCATCCAGCGCGGCTTTCTGGCCCACTTCGATGGGGCCACACAGGATGTGGGGTCCTTGCAACTTGGTGGAGGGAGGGCTCTCTCCCCCTTCCTGCTGTCACTAGGGAGGTCATCCACTTCCAGTCCCATGACTTCAAAATGCCATCTACACACAGGTATCTCTCAGAGTCCTAACTACAGCCCAGACTTCTCTGAGCTCTCCATGTATGGCGTCCATCCTCGTGCATGGACATGACCTGGAAGTCCTCCTTAATACCTCCCCCTTCCTTACTCCCACACATAAATTCATTGGATACTACTTCCTGAATCTCTCTGTAGTCATCCAGTTCCATTACCACCATCCCAAACCAAGCTACCGTCATCTCTTGCCTAGACAACGGCAAGAGTCTCCCATACAGCCTTCCTGTCCCCACTCTTGACTCTCCCAGTCTTACTTGTCACACTGAAGCCTGAGAGACCCTTTGAAAATGTAACGCAGATTACATCATTCCTCTGTTAAAAATCTGACAATGTCCACTTTCGTAGCTCTAATAAGACAAAAACCTTTACCAGGCCTACACCCTGTTGTCCCCCATCATCTCACCCAGTATCACTGTCTTCCTTCGTCTTCACATGGGAAGACTGGCCTTTCTTAAGTCCCCGGAAGTTGACACGCTCCTCCCCACATTGCGGCCCTTGTACTGACTTTCCCAGCAGTCTGTACCTTTTCCTTCAAAGCACTTACTACAATTCGTAATTATGTTTATTTCTGTAATTATTTATTTTATAACTCTCTCTGCCAAGAGAACATAAGCTCCATGAGGGCAAAGATCATGACTGTTTCTTAGCCACTGTATTTCTAGTATCACACTCAGTGGATTGGCACATGGAAGTAAACAAATGACGGTGTTTAGAGGTAGCTAATGGTGCTGTACACCTTCAATCCATACAATGTATTACTCATATGCCCTTATATTTCAATAAAAATAATTTTTTAAAAGAAAAGAGCATGGACTGGGGTAAGTTAACTAATAGGACTTACAGTATAATTTACCTCCTTCTATGTACCAAAACACTACCCCAAAGAATTAGAGATATACCAAGGCAATTTATATGCAAATATACATAAAAATACAATTCTATAATCCTATGAGTATATTCGATAGCATAAATAGTCCCAAAGAAAAATTTACAATATTTTAATTTTGCAAA